CACAAGCGGTGAGATGGGAAGTTAGTGTCCGAATGGATCGAAATCACGATAGTTCAAGTGGTAGAGCAGCCGCAGCATAATCTAGCCGAAAATCGTGGGTTCGAATACCGCTTTGACGCTGACTTTTTTAACTCAACTAAAAACCTTAATTAATTGGAAAATTATTATTAGTGTAAATTCAGCAGAAAAATACTTAATTTGGTCGTTTCAGATAATTTTGGCTTTTTTTGCCTGGCAAATGTCTTCGTGTTAGATTTTCTAATGTTGAATGTATTTATTAGCACGATATTTTTTTTTATACCTGGCATGTTTTTAACTATTTTTGGCATCTTTCCGGTAGCAAGTCTTTTCCTATCGTATAAAAATTCCCTTCTTTTGAGTCCAGAAACGTTCGAACGGCTGTTTGCAAACTTTCAAAATTTTAGCCATTTAAAACATTTTGTAAAGACCAAAATATATATTAGTCGCAGGGTGAAATGTCCGGAGAGTAGTAAAATTTCCCAATAGAGATTAGTTAATAATTGTTTGGTCCTCCAAGAAACTCGGGACGGACGTTGTACTGGTGAAGGACTACACCTTTTTTGTTTTCTAGTGCAGGCCGATTTTTGCTTTATTTGAAAATCTATACGGATTAGCTGTTCAAATTACAGTTCACTATTAACGGTTTGCCCTTGTGGTAAAAGCTCAAAGTGCATTGGGCCGGATCTGTCCCACCAAATGCACAGAGTACGTTTTTTTCATGCGTTCTGTGTTTTGGAAGAACTGGGGGCCACTGAGGTCGCAGTGTCATGTAACATTGAGGTTCTTTAGCGTGCGCACCTAGCCGTCTGGCCTTATCATACGTTTAGATTCTCAAGTTAGGAGCGACTCGCCTCCGCGCACGGAAAATCTGCTTCTTCCGTGAAGTTCGGTGTAGATGCCCGCAAATCCACAGACTAATCGACAGACATGCTGACTTCTCCAGCTTGCCCCTTCCGAGGGGGTGGGTTAACTTGTGCGTTTAACCAGTGTCGCGCGTAAAGGGATACCCAAAAGGTGGTCGAAATGTATAGACCAAGTCTCCGACGCACTCCCTAGATAGAGACTACAACTCTATCTCCCTGAGTATAGGGGCTCCTCTAGCGTCGAAACCTCCGGATGCGCTCCGGCCGCGGTTTCAATGTTAGTAGAATCTCTAACCACTCGCTAATTTTGTATGTGATCCATTTCTCATCACCTGTTACCAATCTATGAACAAATAGGTCGTAACAGTGACGACAGAGGAGTGAAGAGCAAATTAAGATGCGATCCGCCAAATTCCTTTCGCTGAGTTCGTATGGTATCCACGTAGGGTACTTTTAAGCAAACCCATGCCTTTGGATGTGGTTCCCAATGGTCGTAGAGGAAACATTTAACATCTCTGCTCTTTCTCGGGACGTCAAAAAACGATTTTCTTCTATCCTATACCTCAATATGTCGTCAACCTCAGAGGGTCGTCCATTGCGCGTATCATCTTCAAGGAATTTCTTTCTCTGAATCAACCAAACCACCGTTGGACTTTACGAACATTTACAGCATTAGTACCAAACACTGCACACAAATTTGCAGTTCCAATAATTTGCACTGTTCCCTTTGTGGAATTCATAAAGTAAACAACGTCTTAAATGCATTTCGTACAAAGGCTTGGTTACCTTTTAAATTATTCGAACTAAAGATTTTGACAGAAATTGAGGAGAAATAAAGCCTATAGACATGTAAATATTGAGCTAATTAATCCTATAATTGAAAACTCACATCACTTTCTTGCCAAACTAATATAATATGATGAACAAGCCAAAAGGATCGGAAACGGCCATGGTGCAGGTTAACCAACTTGCAAAACCCCAAGACGAAATCACAAGAAAAAAATAAAATGGGCTAGAAGATTGATGAAAAGGAAACCAACTGAGGACTAAGTGCATCAGTACAACTTTTCTTTTTTTTTTAATCACTGAAGAGACAGCGCAAAGTTCGTTGCAGAATATGCAAGTCTAGTTTCCCATTTTCAAAAACATTGCTATTTTTGTTCTAAATTATTGCTAAAGATGAATAAAAATCTACTCGGTTATGCAGTAAATAATATATTTTTGTAACTTTGTGTGCCAGAGGTTCAGCCAAAAGAGGTAGGAAAGACTTGTTTAATCGCTTCTCGGACTATGGATAATCCAGACGCATAAAAGACTCTCAAATTCATTGACAATTCTTCCAATATTAACTAATTACCTACATCTTAACCAGCACTACAAAATAAATATATATATATATGTGTGTGTGTGTGTGTGTGTGTGTGTGTGTGTGCGTGTGTGAAGTTTATATGTTTTATTTATTTATACACAACTACCAAATGTAAAAGAGAGTTTTCAGCCAAAAAATAGCACAATTTTACTCGAAAATAATTTAAAGTTGGTTGACAAAGATTTTTCAAAACGTGGGTTTTCGATATATGAGAAATAGGTGAATTAGGCGTTAAGTGAGTTACAAATCAATTAAATAAAGATCTTAGTCAATGACAAAGAAAAATTTACTCTGTATGCGGTACATAGCATGTTACAATAAGCTAAAAATAAGGAGCTTGCCAGAATCTTTTTAATACTTGCTGAAGATAACGAAAACTCAGGAAGGCCAATCGAGGCCAATTTAACGCTTTATTCGAAAATAATTGACGCTATTTTACTTAAGAGTCGACATAGATCCTCGTCGTTTTACAGGCAACATTACATGGTTTCAAACTGACAAAATCTTGTTTTGTTTTGGTTTTTTAACTTCTTATTACTTGGATATCATACTAAGTATAAAAAGAGTTGGTCAAGAAAAGTTTGAAAGCTAAGAAGGCCAATGTGATCAATCGCGGCCAATTTAACGCTTTATTTGAAAATAATTGACTTGAGTGACAACGATTTCGCAAACAACAGTAGTTTCTTATCTATCTCCAAATTAAATAGATATCATCTTTAATACTATAATTTTATATTTAAAAAGGACCAAGGGATAAGGCAGTTTGAAATGAGATATCATCGAGCTGGAGCTTAATAGTCTTTTTTAAATTCCTCTAAAGGGCAAGAACCATCCCGTACCATTTTCTGATTGAGTTGCTTATATAGTTTTGCCTATTCCTGTTGAAATTAAAAATTTCGGAAATTTGTTGTTAGTTAATCTAGTTAGTAGTTAAGAAGTTGTTAAGTAGTCGTTTGTTGGTCAGTGATAAGTTGGATCCGTTGTCAAGTAGTCAAGTCCTTAGTCAAAATTGTTCATTATTTTTAGATGAGTGGTGTTTAGTGACCATTACTTGATGATTATTTGGAGGTCGTGAGATGCGGTCTGGTGTGACGTAAGTTTAGAAAAGCATTTTCTTTATCGTGCCAACGCTTCGATATTTATTGAGATCATCTTCAGGGCCTGGGATTTATAAAAAAAATTATAAATTTTACACATACATTAGGATGTGAAAAAAAGTGAGTACAAATATTTTGATTGAATAAAAAAAAATTCTAGCATTGTATAAATGTATTTTTTTAATCTAAAATTTTCTAGCATTGTATAATTTTTTTTCACATCCTATATGGATTTGTAAAATTTAAACAATATTTACAACTCCCAGGCCCTGAAGATGATCGCAATAAAGATCGAAACGTTGGCACGACAAAGAAAATGTTCTAAAACCTACGTCGCACCAGACCTCATCTCACGATCTCCAAATAATCATTATTTTTAAAAATGAAGTTCACGTCAAACTTTTGTATTAAAAACAAAATTGAAGTAGGTAAAAACATATCAAACAAAATCATCACTGGAGATGACTAAACGAACAAATGAGAAAACCAGGATGAGCAGAAACGACTATTATTATTTATTATTGTTAAGACGATGAGTAGGAAATAAATTGTCTTTTCTTATTGTGGAAAATTTATTTCCTACCGATCATGTTATTATGGTGTTCCACAAAAAATATCAGGATGGACACCATGAAAAAATTATTATTATTGTTTTTCGAGATAAACAACGTTGATGTTCATTTTCTACACCCGAACAAACCCGAAATACACATTTTTGGAAAATAAAAAATGTTTTTTCCTCAAATTAGTTATCTTTAAAATGCCTCCGATTTTTTTTCTCGAAAATTGTAAGAATTGTGATAAATTTGAAACGCCTCGACTAATCTATAATAAACTTTACAGAAGTTTAGTATAATTTTGGTGTCAGTGAATAGAATTGAAAATATAAAATAAATATTCAGAAATCGTGAGATGCGGTCTGAAGTGATGTAGGTTTCAGAAAAAACATTTTCTTTATCGTGCCAACGTTTCGATCTTTATTGAGATCATCTTCAGGGCTCAAAGTGTTTTTCTTCTTCACTTCGATTAACGGTCACTAACCATCACACATATAAAATAAAACTTTTGTGAAGCTTTTGTTGCTTTTAACCTTATTTTTCTTACTAACAATGACATTAAATCTAATTCTTGTTTAAATCCTAAATGAAGAGAAATCGATCTTTCTAATGTTAAACATTTAAAATCGAATAAAATCCGGAGGTGTTACGAACATTATTTTAAAACGCAACATTAATTAAAAAAACAGTTCAAATCAGGTTTAAATAGATGAAAATCTGCTTTACATATAAGCGGGCTTAAAATATCATACTTATGCCGTTGAAAACAGAAAATTACAATTTTTATTTTTTAGATTATTTTATAGTAATTTTAGGCGTGACAGTAAAGTCTATGTTTTGAGTTCGAACGTTAAGGTGTTATTTTATTTCTGCACTTGATTTCGGTATAATTTTAACATATCAGAAATTTGAGCGAAACAATCTTTCATCAAATGACTAAAAGGCTTCTGTGTCACCAAAATATGTCCTCAGGAAAAAAAAATCAAGAATTATCAGCCAATCGAAGAAAAGTTCCCTCATCTCCTCTATCTTAAAAAATTCAAGATAACTTTTCTTATCGCACAGATATAACACAATCGCAATTGACTATAAGTACGACAGTTACAACAGTCGATGTTTACAGTCCTTGACAGTGGGTGAATCCGTCGATGGCTTCTGTGTAAATGTAGATCGTCGATGCACCCCTGTAATCAACGATTTGTCAAACTATTTCGTCAAAAATGGAAAAAGGGTTGCAATTGGAGGAAAGTCTCTTGGGGAATAAGCAGGACCGTGGAACAGCACGGAAAGAACAGTGTGTATATAATTCACTTCAATAATATTGTTTGTTTCCTTTCAAAAACTAGTGAGTAAAATAGATAACATAATCACAAAATTATTGGAATTATCAATTTAATTGTCTAGTTTATCAGCTATTAGATTTTTCGGACTTTACAAGCTTTCTTTACATACTTCATTTAGATCGTGCGTGAAATATTTAAAAGCAAACCCAATTCTGTTGTCTCACAGAACAGAGTTTTGTCAAACTTGCATAAAATATATTTTCACCTAATTAAACATGGTTGTTTTTACCAGAATTCTCCAACATATTGAATGTAGTCAAATATTTTAATTAATTATACTAAAAATCTTAGGTCTTGGTTGGGATGAAAAAGCGGGATCCCGCTTGTGGCACTTGCTTTTTCGTCTCAACCAAGACCTTAGATTAAAAGTATAATTAATTAATTGGTTATTTGTGACCACTAAATACATATATAGATCAATAGTCAAATATATTTTTTTTCTTTTTCTAATGTAGCCGGTTATTGTTTTGTAGGCATTCGAATTCTCCTTCAAAAAGGAGGAAGGTAAAAGCTCCGAACTCCGCCCAATAAATACCGGGTGATTACTTATAAACTGCCCCCCCCCCGTTTTATTTGTTTTGTTTGGAAATAATTAAAAAATAGATCCGGTCATTACATGATTTTTTACTTAGAATCTGAATCTGAAGTCAACAATTTTCAACGCACGGTATGTCCCTAGGGCGCAGCAACTTTTTTTTTCAAATGGGAAGATATCATTTTTAGTATGGGATTAAATTCTACGACTTTTTTAAAGAAGATTTTATTTTTACTTTACTAATTTTCTAGTAGAGTTTGTCGTTTAAGAGTTATTAAGGTGTGAAAAACTAAAAGTTCAAATTTTATTTATCTCAATCGTCATTCATTTACCTCCTAGTAACTTGAAGTTAAATACTAATTACTAATTCAATTACCTCCTAGAAGTAACTTTAAGTTAATTACTAATTTCTAATTTAACACCCCCCTAGTAATAACATTAAGTTAATTACTAATTTCTAATTTAATTAACTCCTAGTAATAACTTGAAGTTATTACTAACTACTAATTCAATTACCTCCTAGTAACTTGAAGTTAAATACTAATTATTAATTCAATTACCTCCTAGTAGTAACTTTAAGTTAATTACTAATTTCTAATTTAATACCCCCTAGTAGTAACATTAAGTTAATTACTAATTTCTAATTTAATTAACTCCTGGTAATAACTTGAAGTTAATTACTAACTACTAATTCAATTACCTCCTAGTAACTTGAAGTTAAATACTAATTACTAATTCAATTACCTCCTAGAAACTTTAAGTTAATTACTAATTACTAATTCAATAACCTCCTTTTTTAAGTAATTAACTTAAAATTACTACTAATTAATACTACTAGTAGTAATGTTAAGTTAATTATTAATTTAATTAACTCCTAGTAATAACTTGAAGTTAATTACTAACTACTAATTAAATTACCTCCTGAAGTAACTTTAAGTTAATTACTAATGTGTAGAGATTAGTGACCGTTAATCGATAGTTATTCAGATATCGTGAGATGCGGTCGGGTGTGATGTAGGTTTCAGAAAAACATTTTCTTTATCGTGCCAACGTTTCGATCTTTTATTGAGATCATCTTCCTGAAGTTTTGAAAATGTTTTTCTGTTCTCACGATATCTGAATAACTTAATTACTAATTAGTAATTTAATGAACTCCTAGTAGTAACTTGAAGTTAATTACTAATTCAATTACCTCCTAGTAGTAACTTTAAGTTAATTACTAATAATTCAATTACCTCCTAGTAACTTTATTAAGTTAATCCTAGTAAAGTAAATTTTCAAAATAGACACCACCGATCTCCTTACAAAGCAAAATCCTATTATGAAATTAATTTCACACTTCACGGAAAGTATCTGGTGATATCCCAATATCGGCAATTGTCACAAATTAATGAAATGCGTGAAAATTAATTGTACGAACTGTCCAGCTACATACATTGGAATTACATCGCTATATCTACAAAAACGGGAAAAACAGCACACCTATGACTGTAAAACACCAAAACCAATCCAACAACATTGGCCACACACCACATTGAAAAACAACGCAACTTTGGTTTCGAGAAAATACAAATACCAAACGGGGAAAAAACAAATACAAACTCAACTTTCTAGAAAAGGTTTACATTAACAGAAACACACACACACAGCATTAACTTCATTACAGTTGGGCTGGGAAAACCCGGTCGTAGTCACGCCAACATCACATAGCAAATAAACTATTAAACCTTATTTTTATCTTTCCCTTTCCTTCGTTATCGTCCTTAAAACTTCCTTTCCAATAATGAATGCCGAATTTGTGATCCGTCCAGAAAATCCCCATTCTTGACTTCCTTCGAGTTAAATAAAACCGCCTATGATCAAAGAAAATTGCCCAGATTTACCGCATTGTATAAAAAAGCAGCATACAAATTCACGTTTCACTACTACACTTTCAATTTAGAACCTATAAGCTATACGTAAAGGTATAATTTTGATCTGATCTTGAAAATTAGAATTGAGATATAAAATAAAACTTTTGAGCAGAATTTGTTGATTTTAACCTTATTTTCCTCACTTTAACATTAAATCTAAATTCATTACATTTCGTGGTACGATTGACCAAATAACATCTTTCAATTATTTAATCTTTATGTAAGGTATTGGTTGAGATAAAAAATATTATTAAATCTAAACTTTATTGATAAATTCAGAAAGAAGAGAAATCAATCTTTCTTTCTAACGTTGTTCTAACATTTAAGATTAAAAAGTTAAAATCGAAGGTGTGAAAAACTGTTTAATTAATAGAGTCGAGATGACTTTTTGTAATTAGTGGTTGTTATTTTAGGATTGCGGTCAGAAACAACAAGTTTCTACGCAATAATTTTGTCGAAATCGTAAGGGGCGGTCAAGAATGAGGTAGTTTAGAAAAACTACTTTTTCATGTTTTTGCCGATGTTCCGACCTTTATTCGGGTCATCTTCAGACCCGGGTAAATTACACAATATATGTTCATTGGAAAAAATACAATTTAAGAGGTAAATATAAATTTTGAACCAAGTATTTCGTACTCATGTAAAGTGTGGTGCTATTCTTGCGGTGTCATGTTTGTGTTGTGTGAAATTGTTGTGGACAATAATAGCACATCAATTTCATACAACGTCAATATGAGACCACAAGAATAACGCTACACTTTATGCCCTTAAGATGACCCGAATTAAGGTTGAAACGTCGGAAAAAAATTATTAAACAACCGGTTATTAAATAAAAACAAATTTAAGAAGAAAAAAAAAACATTTTTTGTTAAAATTTTGCTTTTATTGGACACTTGAAATGCACATTTACATAGGGTATCATTGTGCCACATTAAAAAATTTGTGTTGCAGGTTGTCAGATTACTTTTTTAATTAAATTTGTTAATCTAATTTGAATCAAACTACTAAGAATAAAATATTGCTTAAAATAATAGAATTGAAAATTGTCATAATTATATTTCGACGTCCTAGAAGTAAAACCAAATAGTGAATTACTAGCATATAGGCTTTTCTATTTTTGAAAATTCAGCCCATAATTTATAATTTTGATTTGTCTAATTTCTAAGCTTTTTCAATAAAATGTATTTATGTTTTAGTCCAAGTGATAGCTCTGGCTGTGGGTTAGGAACATTCCGTCCAAAATGGTTACAACACTTAGCCCACACCAGATCCTTCATGATCGTGTACGGACTGCTCGGAATGGTGCAATCCATGACATTCGTTTATTTTATAGCCACGCTGACAACGTTAGAAAGACAATTTGGCATACCCAGCCGAACAACCGGTAAAGATTTTTTGAACTTGAATAATTTTTTATATTATAAAATTTTTTATTGTTTGTAGGAGTCATGATCAGTGGAAATGAAGTCAGCCAGATACTCCTGTCGCTGGTTCTCACCTACGCAGGAGGGCAAAGAAACCGTCCTCTATGGCTGGGTTGGGGTGTGGCATTGTCAGGTATATCCTGTTTTATCATCACTCTGCCACATTTTATATATGGACCTGGGAATCATGCTCTCTCTTTTACTAAAGAATACATTGAAGAACATGGAATTAACCAGACATCGATTGATCTAAGTAAGTACATGAAATAATGATTTTCTTCTAAAAAAAAATTATCTAGTGTTAATTACACTAAAGCTTGTTTGTTTTTAAACATAATTGAATTTGTCTATTTAGAAGAAAAGATGGGCTTGTGTTCTAAAGAGAGATCTGTAAAAGACTGTGATATGGGAGAATATTCCGTAATCCCATCAGTTCTTGTATTTATTTCTCAATTCATTCTTGGTATCGGCAGTACTCTTTACTATTCCCTCGGTCAAACTTACATCGATGACAACACAAAAAAGACAAAAACTCCAATGGTATTAGGTAAGTTTAGCAATAAATAATCATAAAAATAACAATAATTGGCCACATCGGTTAAGGCATTGGCAAGGCACTCAACACTGTAATGTAAAGGTCCTGGGTTCAAATCCAGCAGCCTTGCATTATAAATGTGTTTTTTTTTTTTTTTTCAAAAACATCCTGAATCAACTAAATACCAAATAACTGAATTTCATTTTCAGGATTCACTTTTGCCTTAAGGACAATAGGGCCATCAATCGGTTTTGTAGTTGGATTCCTTTGTCTGAGCGTTTATGTGAGCCCAAATTTGACTCCTCTTATTGATAAAAAAGACCCAAGATGGATTGGAGCATGGTGGCTAGGTAAATAGGTTGTTTCTTATTTATCTTGTTTTTTTTTAATCATTCTTTTGTGTTAGGCTGGTTGGTATTGGGCTCAGTGATGCTTGTATTTGCATTCCTTATATCTTTATTTCCAAAACATTTGCCCCCAAGTAAAAATAAAGTCGACGATAAGATGAACGTCAAAAAGAAGTCAGAAACTCCACTTTCTGAAAAAGAAGCTCCTTCTTTTAAAGGTTTCTGTCAATTTTATTATAAATTTTTTTAAAGTTTTTTTTTTATAATATTATTATTGTTTCAGAGTTTCCCACAGCTTTGAAAAGATTGCTCAAAAATAAACTACTCGTCATTAATATATTCTCAGGTGTGTTTTACATTCTCGGTAGCTCTGCTTATATTACATATTTAGCAAGATACATTGAAGTCCAGTTTGAAAAAAGTGCAACAAATGCAACTATTGTACTTGGTAAGCTGTTAAAAATAATTATTTTGCGAAGTGGAAAATTAATAAATCGTGGGTTTATAGGTCCTGCGGTACTCGGTGCTATGGTCATCGGGTTCCTGATTTCAGGCTATGTCATATCAAAGTTTAAACCAAGACCAAAATACCTTCTAGGATGGAATGTTATTGTCGGAATGGTGTATATTGTGGGTGAAATCACTCTTATGTTTATAAGTTGTCAGGACACAAATTTAGTCGGCTTTAACAGAGATACAAATAGGCAAGTTGTTTTTATAAAGTACGCTTGGTCGAAAAGTATACGTATTTCATAATGACATCTATAATGGTGAAGGTATTACCATCGATTAATATCGAATGAAACTGTAGAAAAAAAAACTTATGTTCTTGTTGTACTAATGCATTTAAATATAAAATGGCTTGTTTTATAGAATAGATGTAATCAACCACTGTAACAATGATTGTGGCTGTGAAAATCTAAAGTATTCACCAGTATGCTATGAAGAAAAACTGCTGACTTTTTACAGCGCTTGCCATGCCGGTTGTCATCAAGCTAACAAAGGCGATAAGAACAAAGTAAGTCAAAAATTCTAATAGTTATTAAAATGATTGTTAATAAAGAATTTTTAGACTTATGAAAACTGCATGTGCTTATCAAACGACCCAGAAGAGAGTGCTGAGTATGAAACATACATTTTGAAAGATGGGCCATGTCTCATGCCATGTGGATACAATTTTCAAATATTTATAGGCCTTATGTGCATCATGCAGCTTTTAGGGAGCAGTGGGAAAATTGGAAACCTTCTAGTCAATTATAGGTAAATCAGTTGGAGAATTGAAAAAAAATTAATATAGATTATTTAAACCATTTTGTTTGAATTTTTCAGAGCTGTGTTACCTGAAGACAAATCGTTTGCGCAGGGTTTTGCTTTATTGTTAATAAGTTTATTGGCTTTTATTCCTGGGCCAATATTGTTTGGTGCTATTATGGGTAAATTAAATACTTAAAACAAAAAAAAATATATATAACTGAATATACATACATTTTAGATGCTTCATGCCTAATTCGAGATAGCGATTGTGCAGAAAAAGGAAACTGCTGGTTTTATGACAAACATTCATTCAGGACTAATTTAAATATGGCATCCGTTGGTACGTATCTCGTTAAGAAAATAATAAACTCTATCTTGACAAAAATTGTTTTTCAGCTTTTACAAGCATAGGAGTGATCCTCGACGGTTTAGTCTGCTACATGGGAAGAAATCTTCCCCTTTATGATGAGGAAGAGCAAGCAGAGGAAAATGGACAAATCAAAACAAGCTCAATGTAAACATACAAAAAAATGAAAATTGTTATTTTACTTAATTGGAAAGTACCTGTTTTGTGTACATAAAAATTGTACATTTTGTTTGTAATTTATTTTTTAAATATATTTCTATGTTTTACTGTTTTATTAAATGCTCATTCCCTCTTGTAAATTAATTTAATATGAATTCTAAATGGTTAAGAAAAATTTAACTGTGACAAATAATTTAATACAGAAAAACACAACTGGAAAAATGAAAATATATCAAGTTTTTGGAGAATAATGTGAAAGAACAACACCCATTTCTAAAATCAGGCAGGGGTCACCCTGAGGGTACAACCAGGTTTTGTTCAAACCATAAACAGGCCTTGCATACTAAGTCAAACACATCGCTTATCTGCCACCTCTTTGCATCACAAACCTGGATGGTAGATCAGCCCTAAAATTTACAATTGAAAGACTCCTGTTGCTTTATTCAGCTTACATGGCTCAACATCACATTCTCATCAGAAGAGGTTACAAACAACCAAAAACAGAATCTTAAGAATAATACCTGCGCACCGTTGTACAGTGGTTTCATACACAATACAGCACTCCATTTGAACCACAAAATGCCTGTTTTATGTTCTCAATCAATGAGGCTTGTGAGAAGCTCCACATTGCAATGTTAAACCACCGAAACACCCTCATGTGGTAGACACCTGAGATGGACCGCAACTACATAAACCAAAGAAAAACAAAAAATGCTCTCAAGATTCACTGGAAAACTAATCCCAAAGCGACAAGCATTCAATTGCTAATTGTTATAAATGAACGATAGTTTAAAGATATATGTGTATATAAGTCTAGTGAGGCGTCTATTGGATTTGTTAAGGATGGTTAGGGAAATGATTGATAATGTAAGCTCAACTTTTTCATAAAGTTGTCTTGTTTATTACCCATAAACATAAACTGGAATTTGAACTTCTTTCTCTTCCAGTACACCTTAACATCACTATTTCTAATTAGCTTACAAAAAGTAAAAACTGTTTGAATTGAGTTTTTATTTTTCAAGAACCATCCTGATATTGCTTTAATAGAAATTATTATATGTGACTCTTTTCTTATAATTATTCGGAAATCATGAGATGCGGTCTAGTGTGACGCAGTTTTAGAAAAACATTTTCTTTATCGTGCCAACGTTTCGATCGTTATTGAAATCATCTTCAGGGCCTGGGATTTATAAACATTGTTTAAATTATACAAATACATGGAGGATGTGAAAAAAGTGAATTTATACAATGTTAGGAATTTTAGACTCAATCAAAGTATTTGTACTCACTCAAAGTGTTTGTTTTCTGCATGATTGTGCCATTCTTGCATGTCGTGTTGAGAGTGCCAATGAGATCTCAACACGACACGCAAGAGTGGCACAATCATGCAGAAAACAAACACATTGAGTGAGTAGAAATACTTTGATTGAATATAAAAAATCTTTTTTTGCGTTGTATAAATTCACTTTTTTCTACTTCCTACATGTATTTGTTAATTTTAAAGAATGTTTGTAAATCCCAGAGAAGATGATCTCAATAAAGATAGTAACGCTGGCACAATAAAGAAAATGTTTTTCTGAAACCTACATCACACCAGACTGCATCTCACGATTTCTGAATAATCATACTAAAAGTATAATTATCTTATGAAAAAAAATTTAATTAAAAAATTACCCTTGTTTACAATAATTTACTTAGTTTAATTAAGTACATTTTAAGCTATTATCAAAGAATAATTGTTAGTGCATGATAAAATGCATACAAAAATTACAAAGTTGATATAGTATGAACAGATTGTACATTTTGTCCACTCCAAACTCAGTTCATAGATTCAAAACCATAAATTTCACTACTGTAAATAGATTTGATGCTGGGTGTTGGGAGCATTGCGCCTCACTGAAGATGGTGCAATTCCGAAATGCATTTGAGTAGTTCAACAGACCCACGAGTGAATATGAACCCAATAAGTGACTCAAAGCCGGTTCAGCATGTAAGTTGTTGATATTATTTAAACATTAAATTTATAAGTATGTTATAGTTTCAAAGAACTCGTGAAAGGATTCCTCAAAAACTTGACAAAGGAAATGATTCTTTTCTTTTCGTTCAAATCAACCTTATTCTGATTTTTATTAAAAAGAGAGAGAAATATAGTTTCCTTGATTTAAACAATTTCATGAAGACGTTCCACAATTCATTGCAACTGTTTAAAAATAGGTTTAATTTCTGAGTTGAAATGTAATTTAATGTAAAAAAAAATTCAAATCATGAGATATAATTGTTTATTATGATGTGAAATATTTATGATAGTTCACTGTTGCCAAATTAAGGATTTTTGTCCTTTTTTCATAGAATTAGAATGCAAATGTTTTTAAAATCATTGTTTGGGCTCTCAATAACTGCTAGAGCATCAAGTGGGGAAATAGGAAGACTTATGTTCATGTTGATTGCTGAATGCTGAGCAGTGAACACACAAAAACCTTCCTGCGTGTTTATGTTGTTTACTTATTAACTCAACAAAAGACCTGCTGAGTAAAGAATGATAATTATATTAATTGGTCAGTAATAACAATTAAATAAAAAGATCAAATATGAAGCTTGTAAGTATCCTGTGCATTTCTAGGCTAGTCTCATGTTGTATTTTTGTTTATTATTTATCATATTTTGTATAAAACATGTTGGCCGCATGCTGAATATATTCTACATTATATTTACAGTTTACTAGATTAAAATAATAATTATGAGTCGAATTGAAATTTTAACAAAAAATTCTATAAAAAGCCATATTTGATTTTGTTTTAGTACTGTTTAAGTAGTCATCCAAATAAGCCATGCTATATATTGAGGTTCAAAGAAATCACTGTCATGCTGGACTGCGGTTTGTCAGCGCAGACTGCGCTCAACTTCATTCCGCTACCGCTTGTCCCGAGCTCCAGGCTCGCTAATCTGCCCGGCTGGATGCCGAGAGATTCTGTCGAACCGCATTTGGAAGGGGTACAAATCGTTGACCGTATTTGACGTAAGAACTTTCATTTTTGTTCTTCTGTTCTTGCAGGAGCTAAAGGAATGCTGCGGAAGAGTTTTTGTCGACTCTTCGCCCGAATTTTGCCCACCTCTCGCCAACATGGTCGACTATTCGGAAATCGACATCGTCCTAATTTCAAACTATTCATCAATGCTGGCCCTTCCTTTCATCACAGAAAAGACAGGTTTCAAAGGCGTCGTCTACGCGACAGAGCCAACATTACAGATTGGAAAGTACGTAATCAAGTATTTCTTATCAGACCGGTTTTTATTTTTTATTTTATTTTTATACTCTAGGCTATTCTTAGAAGAACTTGTCGAATACCTTGAACAAACACCAAAAAGAAATCAAGCAAAGTACTGGAAAGAGGTTTTGCATTTACTTCCTAGTCCTCTGTGCGATAGTTTCCGACCAAGAAGCTGGAAACGGCTTTACTCGCTTGCTAAAGTCAAATCAAGTCTATCAAGGATAAAAGTTGTCGGATATGATGAAAAGCTGGTTTGTACTTATTTCTTTTAAAACACTGAACCAAAATTATCTCCAATTTTTCTTAATTTTAAGGATGTTTATGGTGCACTTAAAGTAACTGCTGTTAGCTCGGGCTATTGCTTAGGAAGCAGCAATTGGGTGATTAGCTCAGATTACGAAAAAGTGGCTTATGTCAGTGGCTCCTCTACGTTAACAACTCACCCTAGGTAAAAATTTAAAATAATAAAAAAATTAGATAAATTATTTTGAAAAATTATTGTGTTTTTAGACCTATGGATCAGTCAGTTCTTAAAAACAGCAACGTGTTGATTCTCACAGGCCTGACGCAAACGCCTACTTCTAACCCTGATTCGATGCTCGGCGAATTATGCGTAGCAGTTGGTTTGTTCAATTAATTATTTTTAAAAAAATATTTGTTTGATTTGATTGTAATTTTAAGCAATGACTCTAAGAGCAAATGGGTGCGTTTTGATCCCTTGCTATCCTTCCGGAGTCGTTTATGACATATTCGAATGCCTTTCGTCATATCTCGACAATACAAACTTGGCGACGATACCAATGTTTTTCATTTCGCCTGTTGCTGACATGTCACTCGGGTACTCGAACATTTTGGCAGAGTGGTAAGTTTCCAAATGGCAAGATTTCTTTAATTTTTAAAACTGATATTACCCGGTTTTCTGCAGGTTGTCCAATACGAAACAGAGCAAGGTTTATCTGCCGGAAGAACCTTTTCCCCATGGATACTTGGTGAAGATGGGAAGGCTGAAACATTACAAAAGAATTTACTCCGAAGGATTTAGCACAGACTTTAGACAAGTGGGTATTTCAAGGCTATTTTGAATATACAGTGTTCTGACAGACCCATTTTTCTCATCTAATGAAACAAATTTAAATTATTGCGTTTTATTCAACAACATTGGTGAAGTTGATATGGATATGCCTATAAGTATCAATGTATTAGGTGAGTGCATAAGTTTTTTAGTTTTCAGAAAAACAAACTTTTGAAATATAAATGTATTTTATTTTTAATCCTGTAATTTCCTTCATTTTCTATAACATACTTCCAATGTTTTGGTAGCTGAAATATCCTTGTAAATGTCTGGATAAGAAGAAATTTGTGAGTGCGATTGTCAGAACATTTTTGTTCAAAAATTCCCAACCTTTTAAGTGGCTCTCTAGGGAGCAGGACAATTAAAAATTGAAAGTGGCAAGGTCTGGAGAATACAGGCTGGGGCATTTGTTGTCAGTCGAAAAACAGCGATTTTACTCCAAGTGAGTGTCATGGTGCATCAATTCACAAGGGCTGGTCGTTTTTCCTTCAGTGCTGCCCTAAGATGCTCTAACTGCGCACATTATACCTATTATACATGAACACTCAAAATGTGGTGTTTGATAAGCCTCGTGCCTCTTGTTACTATGGAATTTGCGTTCCTGGGAAGTGCGTTCTGCTTCCTCGTTGGCTTGTTTGAGATCTGTGGCATCTGATTTTTTCAAAATGACGAATCATCTTCTTTCCTTCCCATCTTCCTTTTCTTTTTCCATCTCCTTTTACATATATTTTTCTTCCCAAAAGGTAGATTGGGATGAGGCCAAGAAGACAGAAACAACATTTATTTTCTTGTCAAGCTTTTGGCAGAATATATCACCTTCATCAGGACTTCAAAAAAAATCATTGTACTATATGAACAGGGTTCTACCCGTTATTCACACATGTACCTGTTCATATATAGTATAACGATTTTTTCAAAGTCCTGATGAAGGCGAAATATTCTGCCAAAAGCTCGACAAGAAAATAAATGCTGTTTCTGTCTTCCTGGCCTCATCCCCAATCTACCTTTTGGAAAGAAAAATATATTTAAACTGAGAAGGCTGATCAATCACCATAGAAAATATTAATCTCTTTTTACCTTTCGTCTCGTTCTGCTTTTCTTTTGTAATGTGATTTCATCATTTGATTATAAACACTATAATTATATTATTGTCATTATTGATTTGCATATTTTATTATATGTTTTATTATTATTGCTATTATTATTTTACTTCGTTTATAAAACTTAATTTATTTCTAAAATATGTACAAGTAAGGGGGCTTAAAGCCCTATTTGTACCTTTAAAATAAATAAAATAATACAAATAAATCAAGAAATGTGAGTATAACGTAATTGCCGAGATGAACATCAGTGTAGATTGAACAATATCTCCTACTACGTTAGAAACGTTAAGTGGATCTGTGTTTTTCTATACAAATATCAACACGCGTTTTGACGGTGTACCAAACACCATGTTTTGAGCATTCATGTAGAATAGGCCTAAGCGTATGGTAGCATGGTAACTGTTCCCAATAAATTATTCCTTGAATATTCCAGTAGACAATAGGACCTTATGAGGGGGCAATCCTGCTCTTTACATCCAATGGCGGAGTTTCATTCTTCTTGCAAAAGGCCCTTCAGTGTTTAAAAAATTTTTAAGAGAGTACTTCTCATCCCCAATGACCAAATAGGAAATAAACCTGTCCAGTTTATTCCTATTTAGAAACGCAACAAGCCATGTGGTTTTCATCATCTTTGTTCCTGAGGGACGATTTATGGGTTCTTCTAGAGTTTCACAGCATAACACAGAGATTAGATTCTTTTTTCTATTGTTGTGCGATGTATCTTAAATCTCTCTGATGGCTCTGCTACACTGTTTGTTTTCGTCCTCCAATTCTTAACGAGCCATCGCTTTTAAGTTCATTACGTGTTCCATGATGTGGGTGGTCTTTGATTCATCTATTTCCATTTATAAAATGTCGGAACCACTGTTGACTCACATGTTCAGTTACTGTGTTAACACTGTAAATTCCAAATACATTTCTACAAGCATCTGCCAAACTCATATAGCAAGCTTGTCTTTTGGGATCAAATACGCCTTTCTTAAAAATCTCTTTCTATACCGTTTTTCCCTATATAATAATGGATCTCCTTTGTAAGGATGAAAGTTGAAATTGAAAAATAAAAAAACTTATGCACACCCAATATATACATTTTTAAGATTTACATTTTACAATCAATTAAAAAGATTAATTATTAAAGAAAAATGAAGTTTTTGCCTTTTATGTTCAGAGGAACTCTTCTGATCAATTGTCTGAAATGTCTGTCGAATCTTGAGTGTGAAAAGTTCAAAACTATATCTTTATATTCCTGTACCAGTTATTTTTTTTTATTATTATTATTATTATTATTATTATTATTATTTTATATTTATTTTATTATATATTAACTTTCAGCCTTGTATTGTTTTCTGTGGGCATCCCAGTTTGAGATTCGGCGATGCTGTCCACTTTATTGAGCAGTGGGGCTCCAATCCACTCCATACCGTTATTTTTACAGGTAATTTTTTTTTCTGTGTCAAACTCCACAACAGAAAATGTTAGAATAAATTAATCTTTGAAATTTTTCAAACAGAGCCCGATTTTCCATACTTGGATGCTTTGGCACCATTCCAGCCTCTTGCTATGAAAGCTGTGCACTGTCCTATAGACACAAGTCTTAATTTTACCCAGGCAAACAAGTTGATACGAGAATTGAAACCAGGTACTTTGGTTGTGCCACAAGCTTACACTCAGCCACCTCCAGCTCATGCACACCGATCCGAACTGGCTATTGACCAAGTAATAATTTGACTTCTGTGTTTTCATTTCATTTTAATAACAATATTTATCGTACAGGAAAGTCGATATGTTATTTCAATCACAAGAGGGGAAGTGGTTTCATTGGCCGTTAAAAGGCACACAGCGAAAGTCAGCTTGTGTCCAACTTTAGCCGATAAAATTTTGAGCTCCGAAGTCCGTCCTGGGATAACCCTGGCGACAATAACGGCAGCGTTGCATGTCAAAGACAACCAGCACAATATTACTGAACTGCCGGAAGAGCCGACTTCAAAGAAGAGGAAGCTTGCCTTGAAGTGTGAAGAGGCTTTGAAATCGCCGAGGTACGAATGGGGGACGCTCGACGTAGAAAACTTCATCAAAAGGTTGAAACAGGAAGGAATCAACGACACAAAAGTGGAACACAATATGGGAGGATATATCATACATTTGGTATTTGTCTTTATCAACTTACCCATTTATTCATGAATTTAATTAAACATTTACATACCAAAACCACACAAAATCCCCTGTGCCCCATCCTTTCATAGACCAATAAGTCTCATTATTTTAAACAAAATCTTTGAACGTTTCTTCCTAATTCAAGTCTAAAAACAATTCCCAATCAATTTTGATTCTGATGCCTCTATTCTTCTGTTCAGCAGTGCTTCAGAGCTTCAGAAGCATTTGGCTGAATATGAGACCCTGGCCTCTTTTACAAGTTAAAAAGTATCCTCACTCACACCTACTGTCTCATCCTGAAGACCTTCCTTTCGGAACAATGGTTTAGAGTGAGAATTGGCACTGATTTTTCACCACTCGCATTAATCAAAGTTGGCATTCCACAAGGAAGTATCCTATGTCCAATCGTGAACACCATCTACACTGCTGACATACCTTCACATCCAAACACACAACCTATGCGGATGACACCACAATCCTATGTACACACTCCAATCCTATCGCAGCCTTAGAAGTAACACTTCTTCTGAAGCGATTATCGAATGGTGCACTCAGAAGCAAATCAGGTTGAACAAGCAAAAATGCCTATGTGTGACATTTATGCTGAAACATCAGTACACATACACAACAAGGTAATACCTATATCCGACCATGTACGCAAACTTGGACAATTATGATACTAGAATAGACTTACATGGAACCCACATGCACGATTAAAAAGACAAGAACTTAACAAAAGACTGGGACTACTAAGCCTATATTAAAAATTTAAAAAAAAAACTGCTTACAAAATATTCATCAGACTGATTTGGACTGACAGAGTCGAACTGTGAGGCTAGGCCAAATCCTCCAATATCCAATGAATCCAAAAGTTCCTAAATGTCAGCACTCAAAGGATAAATAAAGACCTTAAAATCTCATTCGTAAAGGATCTTGTCAATTTCCACTCTAAAAAATCCCTAACCCACTAGTCAAAACGCTTTCCTCAGCGACCCACCCTTATTTTTTTTCTTTTCTCCCCACTGCCTCTTGGTATTACAATCGGTCAGATTTGTTTTTAATTATCTATACTATTTGCTCAATGTATATTTGTATTGTAACATTTTTCATTTTATTACAGCAAGAAGAAGATACAGTCATTCAAATTGAAGATTCAAACACTCATATATACTGTGAAGCGAATGATCTCTCGCTAAGGCAAAAATTAAGAACGATCTTAATGCAGTGTTTAAATTCTTTTTAATTAATGTATTATGTATTTAAATAAATTAATATAGATGTTATTGTATATTGTAAAAATGTCATGTTTTTCTTTTAGCTTGCTCCAAGTTATTGTGATAAATATATAGTCATTTTTTATTTTAAATCATCTTTTTCTTTTCTTTTTTTTTTTAATGAGGGTGTTTCAACTACTAGGTATATGAAGCCTCAGTGTGCTGGTGTTTTTGAAAAAGAGCCCATTTGTAAGTATGTCAGGTTCGAACCCAGTGACCCTCAATTCTAAACCGGAAGCTTTACCTTACAGTGATGAATGCCGTGTCAGCACCTAAACTGTTGCGGCCACTGACACCCAAATTATTCACAGTTTAAAAAATAAGTAGAGGCAAATGAAATTGTTAGAGGTATAAACTCGGAGATCTAGCCTTCATAAGAAACTAAGATAAAACTTGCATTTCATTTCTTTTTTTAACAATAAGATGACATCATTAAAACATAATTTAAATATAATATGCTCGGTGATAAAAATGGCAGTGAAATTTTCAACTTTTACTTAACCATACTACATCCTGTTCAGCCTAAATTTGGTAAAAGATTATATCTCTCTGAAGATGATGTAAAGCTCAAATGCATTTGAATAATATCAAAACCAGTACATACCTATTGAAACAACCTGACTAACTTCAATTTTTTATATACCCAACAGAAAATAATTTCAAGCTTTTTGAAATTATTTTTCTCTTTTTTTAATTTTTAACGCTGATAATCAATAAAATCGGTGATAAATGAGAAGCCGTTGTTTGCAAACTGAAGAGCATCTTCGTTGCAACTCTAATTATTTTCTGATAAAGCGATAAAACAGCCTGGAGTGATGATGGCGTTGTCCTTCCTACGCTTTTATTATCTCCAATTTTTTTTTTGTAATATTTTTCTATTACAAACTTCTTTTATACATTTGACATTCAACTATATTGGAACTAACAAATATAATTTTTTTGCCACTTCAAAACTATTGTTTTAAGGTCTCTTACATGAAATAATGCCAATTATTTTTTAATAAAGCGTTAATCCGCTTGAATTGACAGCTTTTGTCTTCATTTTCACCAAACATCCTTTTTTCAAAAATATTTTTATTTATGAACTTCTTTTGTACATGAAAATTTTGTTTTTGTAGGCCTTATTATTATTCAGATTATACGGTGGTTCAGCGATCCTGTTCCATTTTCTATATACATTATTCATGTATTTTATATTTTAACAACACAAAATACGTGCGGTCTGGTATGATGTAGGTTTCAGAAAAACATTTTCTTTATCGTGCCAACGTTTCGATCTTTATTGGGATCATCTTCAGGGCTCAAAGTGTTTGTCTTCTGTGTAATTGNTTTTCTAAAACCTACGACACACCAGACCGCATCTCACGATTTCTGAATAATTATCGATTAACGGTCACTAATCACCACACATGTATTTGCAATGTTAAGAAATAAAAAACACAATTTACAAAAAATTGTTTTGTAATGTTAAAAAATAAAACATATTTACTTGAAAATGCCACAGGATCGCCGTAACTTCGTAAAGATTAATTGTTTACATTTTTTCACTTTTTGTTGAAATATTTGTCTTGTAATTTTGTTGTAATGTTAAGATATGAAATATACGATTTGAAAATGGCTGAAACGTACTCGTAAATAAACGTGGGCCTTAGTATGTTATTATTTTATTTTTTATAATAATGACGATTTTACGTTTCGACGATTCTGTGCCATTTTCGAGTAAATATATTTTATTTTTTAATATTACGGAAAAACATCTCAAGCAATACCTTTCATAAAAATATTAATTAATTGAAAAATGTTAATTGGTCAATCGGACCACGAACTGTAATGGATTAGAAAACATTTTTAATAATATATCAACAAAAAGTTTAAAAACGTAGATGTTTTTTGAAATGTTAAGAAATAAAAACATACATGACTTGAAAATGAGACAGCATCGCCGAAACGTAAAGAAAAAAACGTATTTTATTTTATTTTTCCTAATAATAATGATTTTACGTTTCGACGATTATGTGCCATTTTGAAGTCATATATTTTATTTTTTAACATTACAAAAAATTGGTAAAAATATTCCAACCAAAAGTTTAAAAACGTAAAGCTGTTTTAATGTTGACAGATGGGACAGGATCCCGAAACGTCGTAAAGAAAAATCATGTATTTTATTTTTTTTAATGATTTTATGATTTTTTTTCCATTTTGCGACACAACTTGCACGAGAAAATAACAAAGGAAGAAAGCATGTGGAAAGAGGGCAAAAGTTTTCTGAGAGTAAATTAGAGCCTCCAATCCATTTCTTAAAGAATTATTTTCGATAGGAAAATAAATTTGTTTACGCAACTACTTTGATATTGTTTTTGTATTTAAATTATTAAACAATCTCATTAATAGTTCTTATCACCTCTCTCAACTACAGCTACATGTCCCTTCGTTCTCTCTTAAAACCAATGTTATGGAAGAGGACAAGAGGAGGGAAAAGAGGCGCCCCTCCGAAACATTAGAAGAGAACCGGCGGCAACACTGGGACTATATATTTTGCATTGTATAAATTCACTTTTCCACATCCTAAATGTAATTGTTAAATGTAAACATTGTAAATCCCAGGCCCTGAAGATGATCTCAATAAAAGATCGAAACGTTGGCACGATAAAGAAAATGTTTTTCTGAAACCTACATCACACCCGACCACATCTCACGATATCTGAATAACTATATTATTTATATTTTTTGTTATTGTAAAATGTCTTTTTTATAGTGGATTTCGATCCGTAAATAAATAAATAAAAAATAAAATAAAATAAACTATTTTTTTTCCGCGAAAAAGAAATCGGACTTCCGCAAATGTTAAAACTTTCCTCATTTTTTTCATACGTGAATAGTGAAAAGCGCGAATGTTAAGGGATTACTGTACCTCATTCTTGACCGCCCCTCATGCATTCAACAAATTATTAAACAACCAGTCACGAAAAAACACATTTATAAATTATTTTTTCTTCGACTAATTTGACCATGATAACTATTCCCTGGTACTTGGTAGACATAATTGGACTTTGTTTTTATTTCCCAAATAACACCAATCATCAACCAAACCAGTCATCACATTAATGAAATGAATTTAAAAAAATGATTGCATCAAATTTTGGCGTGTCTTGCGTTGGAGGGGGATGTGGTAAGGCGCGAGGAGGGTGAGTGGCACTGTGCTGTGATGTGGCTGCTCGCAGAAGGGAAAGCGGCTCGAAGTCGTAGTTGGAACGGGACGAGGACGAGAGTCGAGCGGAGCCGAAAGCCGGCGTGGAAGGCGAACGGAAACGAAGCGGAGTGGATCGGACTTAGAGCCGGGATCAGCCGTCGGGCAGGCGGCCGAGGCCGAGGCGGAGTCGCTGTGATGCCAGGCGGCCGGCGGGCGAAACTCGGTCCCGAGCTGGCTCGCCTCGTCCGCCGGGGAGGGGGCGATGCAGTACGCGGCCACCCGAAACAACGACACAGCTCACAGCTCGCACCACGCAACACGACCGTTCACCGCACTCCGCCGCATCGGCCACAGCGGACGAATTCTCTCGAGATTTCATCGATACGGATACACGACCGCTAGAAAGGACTCTCCAACTCCTCTACGAAAATAAACGGTAAGCCGTTTAAATAGAATTTAACCCGATCTGCCCAGGTGACATCGCCTTCTGGCCGTTTTTGGCCTTCGGGTCGGAAAAACCCGTTGCCCGCCTTTTGAAAATAGGTTTCCGCCTTACAGGGGCGTCTCGGCAAAAGTGTTGCGCTTTCGAGGCTCGCCTCCTCGCCATTTTCTCCTCTCGCGGCCCCTGCTCCACGAACCGGGCCCTCGCTCCGCTCTTCCCGACCCGCATTTATTTTTAAAAACAAGCCGTTTTTTTTCCTTTTTAACCGTCCTATTGACTTTTTATAAATTCATATCTTTAACTACGCACGTCAGATTTCTTTTTTCCCCATTTTAAATGAAATCCCACTAAAATGGAAAAATCACTTGATTACACCTTGTTTCTAATTTTCAATTAGATATAATCAATTTAAAAAATCTATCTTTACATTCTACAAATCAATCTTTATATTTTATTTCTAAAAACAAAAACCCCAGAATTTTGACATCAAAACAAAAGTCGGTTAAACAGAAGAAACGTATACCTGTTCCTATTTTCGGGACTAAAATAACCGTTAATCCCTTGCACCGCACAAGGATTTTATTTTATATCTTGTTTTGTCCAAAATTGCGTCATTTTTTATTAAAAAAAGAAAAAACACTTAATAATAATAAATAACTTTTATTGGATTACTCTCTAACAAATTATACACTTTATTTTGTATGTACAATAATATTTTAAAAGATTTAATGAAGAGAAACGCGCTAATTCTGCGTGGAAATGAACATAAACTAAAAACCTTTAAAATCGATTCCCGAGGACGTGGGGTTTTTGTTTAAATAATTTTCCCTCGCAATCTCTGATATTTTTGTTTTTATAAATCACGCGGTTCAACTCTAATTCCCTGGCAAAGGATGTTATATGTTATACATAAATGTTTTTATATATTTTGTTTTTTTTTATATTATTATTTTTCCCTTTTGTCTTCATTTATTTTTGTCTACAACTATATATGTAATGATTATTTGGAGATGGTGAGATACGGTCTGATGTGACGTAGGTTTTAGAAAAACATTTTCTTTATCTGGCCAACGTTTCGATCTTTATTGACATCATCTTCAGGGCCTGGGATTTATAAATATTGTCTAAATTATACAAATACATGAGAAAAAAGTGACTTTACACAATGCCAGAAATTTTAGATTCGATCAAAGTAATTGTACTCACTCAAAGTGTTTGTTTTCTGTGTAGATGTGTCATTATTGGGTGTCATGTTGAGAGTGCCAGTGAGTTTTCTATCCCAACTTCCTTCCCCACCCCTTCAAAATCCAACGTACATAAACATAAAACATGAAAATCTCACTGGCACTCTCAACACGACACCCAATAATGACACATCTACACAGAAAACAAACACTTTGAGTGAGTACAATTACTTTGAATGAGTCTAAAATTTCTAACATTGTTTAAATTCACTTTTTTCACATCCTCCATGTATTTGTATAATTTAAACAATGTTTATAAATCCCAGGCCCTGAAGATGATCTCAATAAAGATCGAAACGTTGGCACGAGAAAGAAAATGTTTTTCTAAAACATTTAATTAAGGTTTTTAGTTGGGATAAAAAAGTCAATGGCACGAGCGGGATTCGAACCCACGATCTTCGGCTAGATACGCCGCTGCTCTACCACTTCAGCTATCGTGACCTCGATCCACTCGGACACTAACTTCACATCTCAACCGCACCTTTTTGAATTTTCCCTTCTTTTTGCCATTTTTCAACCGTNGGATTCTCGATCGAGGTCACGATAGCTCAAGTGGTAGAGCAGCGGCGTATCTAGCCGAAGATCGTGGGTTCGAATCCCGCTCGTGCCATTGACTTTTTGATCTCAACTAAAAACCTTAATTAATTGTAATATATTAATTGGTCAAGCGGACCACGAAAATAGTGAATTTTTCTAAAACCTTCGTCACACCAGACCGCATTTCACAATCTCCAAATAATCAGTAACTAACGGTCACTAAACACCACACATATATATGTAATGTATACAACGTGCATATTGGATTTGAATTTATGATTGTGTCATTAGGGCGTTTTAGAGAAAGCTTTCCATTGGTAGCCGCTCTGGATTAATAAATTTGTATTATTCATTGAAGAAGTATTTTATCCATATTCTTTTAAGTCGATTACGTGGTAATTGTGGGGAATTGAGTAATTGTAGTGTGTTAGGGTGAATTTTATAATTCACTATGTAGTCTGTAATATGTTTGGACGGATGAAAAAACTGTTGGCACGTGAAGTTCTCTGTAAAGTGTGTTGTTGTTGTTTATGTTAGGAGGCTCAAAAACAATTAGTTTTAAAATTTTGGATTTTAATTTTTGATTGGAATATTTGCCGATCCATAAACTTGCCACCCATACGTCCAAATAGATTTGAGGAGGTATGTGTATGTTAAAAGTTGTGATTTTAATGATTATTTGGAGATCGTGAGATGCGGTCTGGTGTGATGTAGCCTTTAGAAAAACATTTTCTTTATCGTGCCAACGTTTCGATCTTTATTGAGATCATCTTCAGAGCCTGGGGATTTATAAATATTGTTTAAATTATACAAATACATGTAGGATGTGAAAAAAAAAGAATTTGTAATGCTAGCAATTTAAGACTCACTCAAAGTGTTGGTTTTCTGTGTACAGTATTTGTAAACACTTTGAGTGAGTACAAATACTTTGATTGAAACTAAAATTTCTATCATTGTATAAATTCATTTTTTCACATCGTACATGTATTTATACTTTTGTCGACACCTTTTAACTCAAAAAAGCTGACCCTCATAGAAAAATGGATATCTATCCCTACTTCCTTCCCCACTTCTTCAAAACCCAACGTATATAAACAAAAAAAACTTTAATATATCACTAACACTCTCAACACGACACACAACATGACACATCTACACAGAAAACACACACTTTGAGTGTGTACAAAATACTTTGATTAAACCTAAAATTTTATACTGTGTACGCCATCGTATAAATTCCTATTCATATCGTATAAGTATTTGTATAATTTAAACAATGTTTATAAATCCTAGGCGCTGAAGATGATCTCAGTAATGATCGAAACGTTGGCCCGATAAAGCAAATGTTTTTCTAAACCTACGTCACACCAGACCGCATCTCACGATCTCGAAATAATCATTAATTAACACCTCACATTTGATTTTAATGGTAATTTTGATTATCGGTTAAGTAGGTAATAAAGCGTTTTAAATCGTTTGTTGAGTGTCTGTTTTTCTAATAGTTTACTATATTTTTATTGCAATCTGCTTAATAAACGGTGAGAAATGAAATATTCACATAGTTGATTTGAGCAAGTAAAAAGGCAAAAGAAAAATATTGAAAAACAGAAAATTTCAACTTTTTTTAAAAATTATCTATTAGGTTTCGTGGTCCGATTGGCCAAATAAATTCTTTTCAATTAATTAATCTTTAATTAAGGTTTTGGTTGAGATAAAAAAATGGCAAAAAGCAGGGAAAATTCAAAAGGTGTGGTTAAGATGGGAAGTTGTTGTCCGAGTGGATCGAAGTCACGGTAGCCCAAGTGGTAGAGCAGCGGCGTATTTAGTCGATCGTGGGTTCGAATCCAGCTCGTGACACTGACTTTTTTAAATAATTTTAACTTAATTTGGTTGTAAAAATATTTTAAATCTAGAATTTTTTTTAAAACTATAAACACACTTAATTCATTTTTATGCAATTTATTTCAGTTGGTAATGCATTTCGGGCCACGTCCCTGGTCCCTCTTCAAGCTCGTTATTTAGCTAAATTAAACTCAAACTTACTTGGAGTTCAATTTTGCTAAATATCGAGCTCTGAAGAGGGACCAGGGACGTGGCCCGAAATGCATTAGCATCTGGAATATATAGCATATATATAAATTGGCGTCTTTAGTTAAAAAAATAAATAAATAAATAAATAAAATAACCAACATTCTATATGGAAAATTTCAAGATTTTTTTTGCGGAATCAGGGCCTATTGATAAGAAGTGGCGTACACGTGTCAGGTATTTTGGAGTGTAGAATCTCAAAAAAAAGTTTGGACCAAATCCGTGACCCACCAACCTGCTCCTCCCCTTGTCAGCTTTGGGCTGATGATCTTTAAACATATGGCAGCCTCATGTGTGTGCCAGAAACGACCGTTACGTCTCTAAAAAAAAACGCGTTGGGTAGATGTAAATGAATTATTTTATTACTTTAATAATCTTCATAAATTCAAGATATGTAGTCGTTTTCAATTAAAAAGTAAATAAATAAGAACAATTTTTCTGTTGTTGGAGATTTTTTGCTAATACTTATGTTTTCTCAAAATTGACAGATTTTGATTTGATTTATACAACTGATATGTATCTGTATCTATAAAAAAATACACTAACAAAACCTCAGATTTAGGCTGAAAATCGTTAATCTCGTGGCTGCGTCGTGCGGGGGTCGTTACGTCTCTAAAAAAGGACTGGGGTCGATTTAAATGAATTATTTTATTGCTTCGATAATTTCCTTTATGATTTAACAAAAAACTTTATTTCTCCCTGAAATTCTAGAATTTTTGTAATGAGCTTGAGTAATACTCAAAGAAAAAAGATGGTCGGAAAAAGATCTTGTTTCCAATTTAATTAATTTGATATATAATTTAATTAATTAATTTGATAAGCTAAAGCTTAAGTTTAGAAATAGACTCTTTTCTAGCTATGCAAATCGTCGAGGTTTCATGTGTCATGCTGAGGTGATAAGTTTCTGGGAATCTGAGGTGGGAGATGGTGCTTCTCTAGCTTTTCAAACGATTTCCATGTCCTCATTGTTTTTTTAATATATATAATTATATTAATCCATGTATGTTTAGCGGCCATAATTGCCCATATTAATTATTTTAAGTAATTATTGTTTTAATCTAAGGTCTTGGTTGAGATGAAGAAGTGATATGAACCCACGAACTTTGGCTACCCCGCTCGTGGCTA